CGTTAGCATTCACAATTCGACTAATCAACGCGATATTCTTTACCAATTTGAAAATTGGCGCGCAGAAGATCGACGCGAGAATGAGTCGTTCCGAAACATCGAGAGACCAAGTCCGATTGGTAGACAATCGGTTGAAGAAAGCTTGGAAATGAAGACTTTTAGCCGGACACGCGGATTTACTGCACGATTAAGCTAGTGAAGCACGAAAATAGAAGCTGGACACAATGAGGGCTAAAAGGGAGCCGAGGGAATTAAATGCATCGTGGTTCCTGGATAGGGTAGCTGCACTTTGCTAGCGAGATAAGACGTGGGACCGAGTGCATTTGCGAACGCGTAATCGCCGGTTCGACACCTCGGTTTACGAGTTCTGTGTACCCGCGAAAAATCACGGATTTGTCCGAGTAGCGAGCACCGCGTATGTTCGTTACGTCACCCGGCGCGTGTCCAATAATAGCGTGTTCAAGAAGACAGTGATCGTAAACTATGGAAAATTCTCAGCGTATTTCCATTAAGCGGGGACCGAACCCGATCGCGTTTAAATAGATGGGGAGTCTCGACAGATTAGCGGTGAATGGTCGGAAAGCGTGGTTCCAACGCAAATTCGATCGCTATCCCCGACGCGAAAGAGTTCCACTTCTTCCCTCTCGTCCCAACGAAACGACAACCGCGACTTGGTCTGAAAATTATGGGACTCCCTACGCTGGTAGCCAAGGCTCTGCTCGCCGAGCACGAACCGATGGAACGCGAACGAAGAACCGAAGTTTGAACAAAAGGTACAACGAGGTAAAATAGCATGCGGCAAGCAACCAAGGAAGACACCAAAGTAGCACAAAGGGGGAGGCAAGGGAACGAGGGAGAAGGAGAATGCAAGCCAAAGAGGCATTGGCTCGTGTGCTACCAGCAACAGGTGCCCGTCAAACAACGTTCAACGTCTCTAGCAAACCGTCTCTTTCTCCCTTTCGCGCTGACCTTCCCCCTTTTTCCCTTTCTTTCTCTTTCCTCTTCTCTCTCGTTCTCTCCTTGCTTCGCACGCGATTCCTGGTAATTGATTCGTTGACGAGACAGCCCCGTGCTCCCTGTCCAACTGGCAAACCGTTCAACGACCGATCTCGATGGTGAGATTCGAGAAACGACCAACGACTTAAAACGTGTCCATGTTTACTCGCGTGTCCAAGGATTCTCGTGCTCCTCGCTAGCATTAAGCCGTCTTATCAAAGACAATAACGCGACACAAGCCTAGCCAGGAACAAGTCGTGATCTTCTCAAGACGCGAGCTACGATTTCAAGTCAAGTCAGAGAGAATCCGATGGTGATCAGCCCGACAACGAGTCCCAACACATCGGGATTTGACAAAGATTGAGATACGCGGCTAATATCGAGCATCGCGGTGCCTCCTAATCCATTCATTTCTCTCCGAAATGCTACATTTCGAGTAACTAACCGATCATTATCGAGCACGAATTGCCCGATTAAATTAACGGTGCAGCATTCTTCCCGCAAACTGGTCAACATCGACCTCGGAACCGAGCGAAACTCAGTTTCGTTCCCATTTTGGGCAGGTCTCGTTTCCGTAATTCCGCGAATCGCTACGGAGCTGTTCAAGACCTAACTGAAAACGCGTAATCTCTCTAGTCGGGATGAAAAGGACACCCGAGAGATCGAGTATTTCTCGTTTGCATTCGCGGCGTAACACTCGGCTGGCTCTCGAGTTATGCGACCGATAAACGTCTAAGGGAGACAAATGAATATTGAAAATTGCTCGTAAAACTGTTACTTTGTTTGACGAGGCTACGGAAAAATCGCACACCGGATCATTTATCCTCTACGCGCGATTAACCACGTCATGGAACAAGTACCTAATAACGTAACTGAGTTATCCGAGGAAACGCAACGCGCGAGGGAGACATCGCTTTTTCTAAAGAACGCGTTTGTCGTGAGCACGAATTTTCGGTTCTACGATGGTATTACAAAAATGGCAACCTTATCAGTGGTAGTTATAAACTTTCCATGGCGCACGAGATATTACGACGCAATTATACGAAGTGTCTAAAAAATAGCTGCTGTTTAATTTCTTCGAGAAAACACCTGCGTTGCTGACATCGCGAACTCGCCTCGACTACCAATTTATTATTGTTACCAATTTATCTGTCAATCAAAGTCCATCGGGCCGATGCACCTATCCAATCTTACGTCGTGATTTTCACTTGTTCGCGAGAAACAACACTGTGATCGTCAGATTGAAGAAATTATCATATTTCGTACGATCGGGAATCCTTGAATAACATCCCAAGACCCCGCTTCTACGTTCCCTTCGACGCTTATGTATCATAGGATTTCTGAAATAACCAACTATTCCGAGGAACGTGACAAATCGTGGATGCGAGAAGGCAAAAGAAGAAGCGTACCCAAACGAGTCGCATCTGCCGTTGATGCGGGAAAAAGTAGAAGTCCATAAATGAAGATCGGAAGGCGAATACAAGTCGAGCAGCAGACGGATCAGATCGAAGCGCACGATCCATCGAAAGCTTGAGTTGGTCCAGGCGTCCAGTGGTTCGCGTGAATACGTGCCACTTATACGGGAGCCTGAGTCTTCGGTTCTTCAACACGACCACGAAATTCCTCGAGGCCACGAATTAGCGAGAAGCCATTCAGGCAGCCATAGCGCGAGCCATGGAGGCGAGCTGAAAGGGCTCCACGGTCTGGCGACCGTAGCACGCGACACCATATGGTCTCCCGATACTCGCGACCCCCCTATGCACAAACATGCCTTCCTCGGTTGCTCCGAAAGATATGGCTGACGAGATCTTAACCGAAACGAAGGGCGAAACGATACAACGACAATGGCGTCGTAACGAAAAGCCGAACAGATAATGACCGTTTGCGATAGGTCGATCGTGACAAAGAAAATCGCGACTGATCAACGAAACTAACTCTTTCCGTACACTCTGCTGGATTTCACCTACGTGGAGTAGGAAATTTGCTTCGTCTTTTTGCTACGATAGAAAAAGAGATGGTAACTTCGTCGTGAATCCGGACTGCTTCGTATCAGCTTGCAAAATGCAGGATTCGCGGTATTTTCTTCCAAGGAACTATGCAACCGTATTCCAGACTCTGTTCAGAGGCTAGGAAAAAAAGGGAGACACTGAGGAGAAACGGTGGTGAAACTGGACGATAAGTGAAATTCCCAATGGAGACTACGGAATACGGGTTACGGCACCCCCGAGGACACTAGAACGCTCATATCCTAATAGAAACGTAATCGCGTAGTCCTGCACGCTGAATAAATTATTAGCAGGCTTACGCTATGGTCGAGGGTTCGCGTAACACACCATATCGCCTGGATTAACGACGATCTGCACCGTGGGACAGTCGAGGATTTATTCGGTCGTGACTCTCTACGTTTATTTATTATTATTTTGGCCTCGATACCCGTTATTGCTTCGCAATTTTTTAGCGATCGAGTCGATACTTTGTCGCCTCGAAGATAATCGCAAACGCGATACGTCGTTCTCGATTAAAGATCATGGACACGTTAAATCGACGGCAGACGTTCCGTCGTGATTCGATTAAAAATTTTGTAGAAATCGTAGTTCTAAGATTATCGGACTCGCGATCGAATCGATAATGCCAGCATTCGTGTAATTATTTAAGTCACGCGTTGCTGAAAAAGAAAACAAGAAATCGTAATAATTAATCTTATCGATCTCCGCGAAACCGAGCGCGTTATCGAACTAATTTCGAGGGGAACATATAATCGCCCGAGTCAGGTATTTTTAATCACCAATGACCTTGAATCATCTCGAACCTTCGCGAAATTTCAGATATCGAAGCAGATCGCTGAATTATCTGTAACTCGATCGAAACAGTTTCGCCAAAAAGAAACATATTGATTATTTAAATATATATCGGTAGCAATCGAAAATCTGGTCGATCGTTATATTATTCGTAATATGCGGAAACTTTTTAGCCGATCATGGACGATAGATCTTTCGGCGATTGAGAATAATCGACATCGAGGGAGAGTGCGAGAACATCGCCCACGACCCTTTTCTCAACCCCCGTCGACATATTTACCCCTGTTTGCCGGGTAATCATGGAAGTGGTAGTTTATTGACGAGCCACCACGTTGTGCCTGGAATCGAATAGACTCCAAACAACGCTCGACACGAACAGTAAAAGAGAAACGAAATTATAAACCTCGAATATCCCCTGATTTATCCTCGGATATATCGTTTAAGGAGATGCAATGGAGGAAAATTTAAACAGGTGCGAGAGTGTATTTGATCATCGAGAAGCAATTCGTGTTAGTCTCTTTTCCTTTCCGCCACTAGAAGAGAAGGAGAGTCACGAACGCGGATGACAAATATTTAACGTTCTTCTATTGACCGATATTATATTCCATTTACCGACAGCTTAGTCCCCCGTTCGCGTACGCGTGTCGTGTTCTCGAGGCTAGCTTTTCAAACTCCGTCGGCAACGACGAAGCGACGAAACTATCGAGCTGCGCAGAATTGTCACGAATTCGAAACACAGGCTACCGAAATCAACGGAGAAATGAAACAACGACTATCGAAAGACAAGAATTACGGCGAAAAGGAGAGCAGCCAATGGATAAAAAATGAGGGTCCGTGCGACTAGCGTGGATTAAATTCACGAGAAACAGACTCGAGAGATCCAAGTTTTAACCTGAGCTGGACCCTTGGTAAAATCATTATACTCTACAACTCCGCTCGTAAAGATTACGATCATAAGCGATGCCTGAGATCATCGGAACATTTTCCACGAGCCGCGCTCGAGGAACTGCTAAGAGGAAAAAAAATGTATAATTTACGAGCTAACCTAATTCTATCGTTTTTCTGTCTGTGGCTTTTATCAATCGCGCCGCTGAACTCATATGGTCCCGATACATTGGAAGCCATTATCGAATCCCGATGTTGGGACAGGAAACACATTTACTACCGACTGGCATGCGTTTATCGAATCTTTTTCGAGTCACTCACCCAATGCTGCGTTGTTACGACTTCGCCATCCGTTCCGTCGAGGGCCTGCTAAATAAACGAGCATAAGATCAATTCCTTTTCAGAACATGACAAAAATGATCGCCCGGTTACGCGAGATCAAACGGAACGCTAACATCCGAGATATCGGCCGGTCTCGATATCCAGTAAATTCGCGAATAATCGGCGATGAAATACGCGATTTCTATGAATTCGGATACGTCAAAAGTACTTACGTCCTTCTTCCTTTTCACTGCTGCAGCACCTGAAACAATCAAGCGGAATGCTTCATCTTTAAAGAACTCTTTATTCTCGACAGGTTACGGAAAGAAGAAGATAAAAGGAACACTGACCGGCAGTCGAATTTGGTAACCGTGCTCCGTTGGTGCCGGTGGGTGCTGCAAGATTGGCAGCGGGGGTGGGCGTCCCCACGGAGGGCGGTACGCCTCGGCTCCCAAACGGGAAGTACGGGGAATCCGGGGGGTAAGTGGCGCCCTCGACGCCTCCACCGCCACCGCCACCACCACTTCCACCGCCACCCCCGCCGCCCCCGCCACCGCCACCTCCCCCTGGCCCCCCACCTGGTCCTCCTGCTGTTGGACCGAACGTTCCTCCACCATACGTCTGGAAAACCAACATTTTCTTCCTCACCGCTCTAACCGCTCAATTTAACTTGCCAGAGAATGCCGTGCAAAAGGGGTAGTAAGAATTTTCTGATCAAATTAGACGGATTCGCGTCGATCACGATCGTTGGAACAGACACGAGGAAGAAGGTAGTCGAAAGAAACGAATGGAGGAAGAGGCGACTCCAATAAACCTATCAAAATCAATACTTCTTATCAGCTATGGTTTAACGACTGCCGATTAGATACTACTCCCTGGCGCCGTAAAAAAATCTCCGCTATCTTCGTTTCCTCGTAGAAACCTTGTCGACCATTCGCATACACATACTTTTTACATAATAGGCCGAAGACGAAGTTGCCCCAAAAAGAACATAGCTATTTCCTCCAGGACGAATCCAGATTGGTTTTCTCAACAAGGTTACCCGCGTGTAACGTGGCTAATTGTCGATAAAAGTGAGGTCGTCCGGATGAGACAATGGAATACATCGCGATAATCTGACCAGTCCCAACGAATGCGGGTGCAAGGTCGACATACTATTGCGCATTTTATAATTTCTAGGCTCATGTTCGAGGTTGCTCTCGAAGTTGCAATAGCAATCGTTTCTAATTCTTTAACGCGACTCAGTCTCGTCGAAAATGTCTCGTTACGAGTGTTCATCTGGAGACGCGACTAATCAGCAATCGCTGCGAAGATTACACGAAGGCGAAGCGCTAAGCTATGGAAGAAGAAAGTACGAAGGACTTTATCCACGCTCTGGGATAACTTTTCATCCGAGTTCGTTTAACCCCTGCGACTCTCCTCTCTACCTTTGTGCCACAGAATATATATATATATATATTAATACATAAGTGTTCGCCTGTGGATGAACATGTACATAAGCGTATACATACATTGTCGCGAACAGGGGAGAGCGTAAGTGATATTAAAGCTGGAGGTTGACGACGCTCAACCCTCGCGAAATTGGGTAATTCTTACTTCCGACGCAAAATGAACTTTCAGGATCGTGAATTAATCTTTTTGCGAATAGAAAGGATAGACGCTATACCTAATTGGTAAAAAGAAGGAAAAGAGTCACGGAAGAACGTGACATTTTAAGAAAATAAATGCGATAGCTGGGATTTTTATTGAAAAAGAACGGCATTTTAAGAACGCTTAACGACTTTCGTGTTCCCTTTATTACAGGGATCCAAAGAAATTAAATCCCGGCTTTACAGATAAGCTACGCGAACAAGGCACGCGGTGCTTTTAGCGGAAAATTTAAAACACGATGAGAACCACTTGCCAAAAATATTACTTGGACTAAAGTTTTGAGATTACGTAGTGAGGGGTAGTGGAGGGTGAGGCGCAAGAGAGGAGAAAAGGAGTAACTTTTTCTCGGATAAATTTCCCTCTACGACTGTAATAATTATTGCGCTCCTGTTTCCTACGCAACCCTGCTTTATCTTAAGAATCGAGATGGTTAACTCGAAGGGGGAAAAAGTATCTTAAACACTCACCATTCCGTTGTCCATCGTGGGGCCATACGGCGACTGGAAGCCTAATTTTTCTGTAACAAACGAGATACCGGATTAATACCTATTCGTTCCGATAAACAATGAATTTCGCGTAGCAATTTTTCAACGCGCGTCACGGTAACGGGAAATATCGATAATAATACTAAGAACGTACGTTACTTCGAAGCCAAGCGAGACAAAAAGGGGAGCAGAATAAGACGAAGACGTTGCAGCATAGGAATGCGTGGCAAGCTGAGTCGATGCAAAATTAATGCCAGGCATAAATTCGCACCGCGTCTTTATAAATCAAAACCGCGATCGCGTTAAGAATCCAAGCGAGATATACGCGTTTTCCGCGTTGCGGCTGCGACGCATGCGGAATAAACAACGAGATAAACATTACGAGGTTGCCGCAGTCGAGGCTTCATCCGTTATTAATGCCCACCCTCCATACACATACGCGCGTATAGCGAGACGAGAGCTTGAATCTACGTGCGCGTGTCTTGCCAAGAATTTATGAGGATCGGCTGGATTTACCGGTCTCGAAAACCGCCGTGGAAGAATTCGGATTAATTTTAATTCCACGATATTTTACGTTACAGCCTATTATTCTCCGCTAGTCCGCAATGATCGTGTTCGATCACCTCCCTCGCAGTCCCGAAACGGAGTACCCGGTGTGTTTACGAGAGAGAACGACCGAATTTTTTGTACACGTGATCCTAGAAGATGACAATATCCTTGGATATGCCACAACGAAGATAAGAACGAACAGTGACTCGAGATGTATTAATTCTACCGAGTAATTCACCTGGGGAGAATTACTAGATCCGGGGAGAGGTGCTTCGACAAGTATTCCTCTTATCAAAGTTGCAAGAGCTGAAAGTCCAGCTGACTGATAACCAGCCGAGAAAAGGGTAGTATAGAAGGAGTATATCGTATTACAGAGGACGGATATAGCCATGCGTGGACGATAGGGCGAGTGTCCGACTACGCCACGATCGGCCGAGGTAACTATGAATCCTAACAGTTTCGGCTTGCTCGTGACATGTTTGCCGAAGCGTGCAGTACCGAGTCTGCAATATCATGCATCAAAGTACAAGCTAAACCATGGTCCATCGTGTCATCCTCAGAGCCGCTGCAAGCCAGCTCGACCGTTATGACGTAGTGTTGAGCACCGGGCCTTCGTGTCACGACTAGTTCGTCTTCCACGTTGGCTCCTGCCGGCGTCACCTCTATCGAATATTGCTCGATGAAGAATTACTACGGATTCCGCTTGGCGAGATTCCGGAGCTGGCGCCCTTGTCCGACTTGCGAACCAAGTGTGTTTCACTTGCCATGGGAACAATGCTCGCAACCATATTTCTGCACAATTTACAACAGTGTATCACTGTTGGAACTAAAGGTGTTAACGCAGAAGCTAGCGAGTACGTCGAGAACGGAAAAGGGACACACCATTAACGTTTACCATTAATGTTCCTCTTCTTCTTTCCCCGTCCTTTTTTCTTTTCTTTTTTGTCTTTTTCAACCTCGAACGAGAAAGCAATGAAACATAGAGATGGAAGGAAGAAAGAACGAGAGTGTCGATGGTGAATAACGCATTACACGCGGTGCTGGTCACTACGATACCATCTACACGGATTTCGGCCGGCATCAATTCGGTATTACAGCTCGCGAAATGCGCGACACAACCTCGAAAACCGCGCGCCATGCCGCGCTGTGCGCGGTGCGCGACGACCAGCGATTTTCAACGCACGAGACACGACCGCGATTTGGTGGTCAGCCTGTTCGGCGTCGTATATCAGTGCAACACCATCGAATTAGAATTACCTAAAATTATTTCCCCCCATAGCGGTGCAGAGTTAGCTCGTAAACAGCTGTCCACCGCTACCGAATTCTATTTTACTTATCGGTTCCAACGAACCAGACAAATCCATCGAGATGGCAGCGATGCCGAAAGGAAAGAAAGGAAGGTAAAAGAAAACCGAAACTTACATGGATTATAACCGTTCCTTTCAAATGCATCGCGAGCCTATGGAGCTCTAGCACTGACTCGGTGAATCAATTAAATCGCGCCAACACCGTTTCGCGTATTCGCTATGGCGACGCAGAAAAAAAGGGGGAAAAAATATCGGCAAATATTACGCGCCACGAAAATGCCAGACACTTTCGGCGTTGACGATCTCGTAAAAAAGCGCGTGCGACGCCAAGCGTGAAAAAACAAGTGCAAACATAAAAAAGGGAAAAAAAAAAAAGTGGTCGAGGGTGCAGAGGGACAGGGCGCGGTGAAGCGATTAAAGCCGCGACATATCTGCATTTCGCGGTCCCGGAAAAAAGCAGCCAGAAGGGTTTTCATGTCGAACGTTTAGGTCCAAGTGGAATGGCCGATACGCCTGACTTATCGTTCGTGGCAACCCACCATCGTGAATCTCTAAGTTCATCAGCATCCCGTTCCCATTTGACTGGTAGAAGCAAGTAGAATTAAAGAACAGATGGTGGAACCGCAGCTTTGGCCCCGCGAATAAGGTTAACGAAGAAGAACTTAATTAGCGAGGTGCGTTCCTGCAATATGCACGCGTTAAAAGACGCAATCACGCGCTCGATCGAACGTGCTTAACGTGGACCAGGATTAAATGACTGCCTGCCTGTACTTTGATCCTAAATTCCAGTGTCAACTTTATCCGACAATTTTTCCCCCTTTTCGAAAAACGATCAGACGCCTGATCCGCGTGGGTACCCTGGAAGCTGGGCTCGTGAATTTCTGACCAAAGGATACTTTTCGCCGAATTTGCCTCATAACATCGAGGAGAAGGGAAAAGCACTTCGAAATCTGATCGTTGATCGAATATCTAGCGCAGATTATAACCACCTGTTTGAGAATATGATTAAATCAAATGTACAAGTACGTGAAGAAAAATCGGCCTCGATACGAGTTGCAACTATGGCTTGTAAAAACGATGAAAGAAATAATGGAACACCTGCGCCACTTGGAAAGCTTTAATTCCACGATGTTCAACGAATAATCACCGAGTTTCGTTACATCGATATGTAAATTTGGATAACTGTCGTCGATGTCTCGCACTGTATGAGAAGATCGGGATATGTCCACAATTCTCGAAAGAATGAGACAGATTTAATATTCGCACAACCACTTTCATATTAGAACGAACATGGCCAAGGCTTTTACCGGAGAGAGTAAACGCGAGGAATGAAACGCGTACGAAACAATGCTCCTCTGGATATTAGTTTTGCTCTTATCATTCTTCCTTTTCTCTCGTTTTGTCATATTTGCAGGACACCCGATATATAGACTGCCACTGCGCAGACCCACGCACCCCAACCAGCCATTTCTATGGGAGAATTCGCGTGTGTACCATGCCGGTGCACGGTGCCACGCGACCTAAAAGGGTGTTCCAGGTTCTCGCAGGTAAGCACGAAAGAGCGAGGAAGACGGAGGAAAGAGAAAAGGAGAGAGGGGGAAGGGAGAAGAACGAAGAAGAAAGAAGTTCGCGAACAGCAGAGAATAGAGAAAGGAGAGGAAGGGGAAGGTTTACCACCCTTGGGGCCCTCGACCCCAATGGTAGAGGGGGTACACACACTACTACCAGAGGGAGGAAGAATAGAAGACCAGCAAAGAAAGACGAAAAAAATGTGAAAAAGAACTCAGGTAGACACTGGTGCTCAACCAAACCAACGCTCTGACTTCAATCCTGCGACGTGATCGATCTACGATCGTTTTTCTTCATCAGTTTCGATCATGATGTTGCTACATCAGGCACGGCATATTGCTTATCGTTTCACGATGTCAAGTTTCTTTAGATGCACCGAACTCAAGAAAATGCCTGTGTTCCCCGTTTTGATATCCCCCAAATTCCCGAGCCATTTTCATGACCAGAATTTCGAAAGCTGGCTCGCAAGGCCACAGTGGAACCAGCGAACTGAGAATAATCGGAA